AGGTTTAATTTGAGTATTTTTTTTCCACATTCTTATTATAAAACATTTTATACTGAAACCCTTTCTCTAAAAATCGTTAGGTTTAATTTGAGTATTTTTTTTCCACATTCTTATTATAAAACATTTTATACTGAAACCCTTTCTCTAAAAATCGTTAGGTTTAATTTGAGTATCTTTTTCCACATTCTTATTATAAAACATTTTATACTGAAACCCTTTCTCTAAAAATCGTTAGATTTAATTTGAGTATTTTTTTCCACATTCTTATTATAAAACATTTTATAGTGAAACCCTTTCTCTAAAAATCGTTAGGTTTAATTTGAGTATTTTTTTTCCACATAAGAGATTTACAAAGCGTATTAACTTTAACTCACCTGAAGAAAAGACCATTCTTAATAAACATGTAAATCGCATCAACAGCAGATGAGGTAGCGATTCCTATTTCACACGCTCTTAATTAACAGACACAAACTAATATAAAAATGGCTGATGATTAACCAAATGACTTCTGATTTCCATTTAGATAATCTACTCTTTCTTTCTTGGTCCAAGTTTCTAACTTGCATCTTTCCTTTTTCAGGATAACTTCAAAAGACACACACACACACACACACACACACACAAAGAGGAAATTTCAACTAACATGTACACAAGTCGCGAAAAACACGAAAAATATATGATAGCTTAGAAAATAGTTTTGTTTCTTTGTTTTAACGCAAAAGCTACACAATAGGCTATCTGCGCGCTGCCCACTACGTGGAATCAAACCCCGGATTTTAGCGTAAACTTACTTCTGATCCACTGGGGGATTTTTTAGGAAAGAAACATACTTGGATAGCAATAAATCCCCCCCCCCTCTCCCAGTGGCTCAGCGGAAAGTCTGAGGGCTTATAATGCCAAAAATAGTGTTTCGATACCCGCGGCGAGCAGAGCACGGGTGGCCCAATGTGTAGCTTTGTGCTTTTAATAAAAAGCAAACTGGTAATGAGCATGTGGGTTTGTTGGTGCAGAAAATACGAACGTTAAACCAAAATAATTATGAATTTTTTTGTAACGCTTGCGATATATTTTGCCCCGCCCCCAGTGTCTCAACGGTAATTCTACAGGTTTACAACAAGATTCGGGTTTCGATACCCACGGTGAGCACAGCACATTGTGTAGCTTTGTGCTTAACAAACAAACAAAAACATATTTTTATTTCTATCAAATATCGTCATCTGTAAGAAAATGAGAGAGAGAGATTACGGATTTTTATCGTTCCATATCTCAAATTGTAAGTAAACAACGCTCTGTAATTTCATTGTACTTTGTCGTAAAAGCATCCGAATTATTTATTTATGTGTTACTTTCAGTTCTTTCAGGGAATTATTTTAAAAAGTCTTTTTTTTTTCTTTTTTGGTTGACATTTTCTTTTAAAGGCAGAAGTTACGAATCAAATGTTCCGTTAGTTATTGTTTTTTTTTTTTTAAAGAGCACTTTATTTGGAGATAGCTCTAGATCAGAAATGTTTATTTTTGGTGCTTCGAACGTCAACAAAATTGACACTAACGAAAGTACGTCGTAGCTCCTGTTATAAGAAAATAACCGTCGATTAGCGATTAAAAGATACCATTTGCTAGCACGGGCTCCCACATTTCCGGTATTCCTATGTGTATTACAGTAACCATGGTTACGACTGACAGTATCTTCCTTTGCACTAACCAAGTGTATTATATTCAGACCGACAAATACATTTATAATAGCTTTTTTTTTCATACAACACTTTTGTTTAGTTAAAATAAAAATCGTGTTCTCAGTCATGATCGAATCTCGAGTATGGAATACAAACGTACAATTTCTGAATGATCGAATCTCGAGTATGGAATACAAACGTACAATTTCTGAGCGTTAATTATAAACTCTTCCAAGTTTTGCCATTCCAGTAATTGTAACAGTAGCAAGATTTATTGTCTATAACTAATTAAGATAATAATATTGAAACAAGTCTTCCCAGGTTAGAAGTTTTATAATTAGAATATATATATATATGCATGTTTGCCAACAGGGTATAATGTCCAACGTTTGGTTTTTCCATCGACGACGGCAGGACTCTAACACAGAATCAGATGGCGTTGCGATTGTTAAGAGAACCGCATCAGAAAAGTGTTCAACAAATAAGTCATCTGGGGATCGGAGTGATCTCGTGCCTCCTCTGGTTCCACAAAGAAATGTGGATTCCAAACCTGATGGCCTGAATCATTCGGATAGTCTCGACAACATGGCACAGCACATTCCTAGGTCTCTAGTTTTAACCCAAACTTTGGTGCACCAAATATTCTTTTGTTACCATCTACTTATTTTATAATTCAATAATTTTCCCGACGTCCTCTAGTAAAAGAAGTGTTCGAACAAGAAGTATAGAAACTTGCAAATCTTATTTGATGAACATATATCTATATATACATACAAGGTTACTCTTAGTTAAGATATTTGATGAACATATATATCTATATATACATACAAGGTTACTCTTAATTTTGACCTTAATTAAATGTGCGTTCATCTCCTACAGTGGCGATGGTTTTTGTATTGGAGCGTTGTATTTAAATCTATGGTGTAGATGACAAGATCTCATATTGCTATTTTTCTTAATAATCTGTGCAATGTTCTTTTAGTATGCCTAAGACAAGAGTATTGATAAACTAAATTGGAATGTTTTAGCAAGGTAAAATCATATCTTTAACATTGTAATTGTGTCCTAAATGTAAGTCTTAATTCCATTTCAGGATATAAGCGATTCGATAGTGTAATTAGCACAATACCTTGTTTGTCCCCCTGGTGTCTCAGCGTTAAATCGGAGGACTTATAACATTCAAAATCGGGTTTCTATATCCCACAGTGTGGCTTTGTGTTCAACAACAACAAAATACTTTTTTTCCTCTTCTTAGATTACGAAGAAGGTGATTGTATAAAGAAAACAATCGTTATTAAATTACTTAATCGCTCATATGCTCAAGTAGAATTAAAAACGTATTTTAAAGCATTGATTATGATCGAAACATTCCTTTAAATCTAAGAACACATTTCTTTCATTTAAACGTTAACCGTGGTGTATTAATGTAATTGTTTGTTGTGAACAAGGCTTAAGTCGGGTCTTTTATGAGATACATCAGCCAATGGGAAAATCAGATGAAGTGAGATTGCGTGTTTTACACCATCCAACATTTCGGTATAAACTTTTAAAATCATCTGGACGATGCAGGTGTTGGATGTTCAGGAATACTCTATGTCATAAACAATAGATTCTGCTTTTTAACGAGATCCGTGCATGCAATCTTCCACTTTAGTAAAGGTTTTAAAAACTTAGCGTGTTACAATTCGTTTTAAACGCGATGTACGAATTGTTTGTAGCATGCTGTAAAAGGGGGTTTGAAATCGATACGATATGACTTTCACCGTTTTGTCACCGAACATGCTCACCCTTTCAGTCGTGGGGGGGGGGGGTGTTATAATCTGACTGTATATTCCATTATGTATTGGTAAAGAGTTGGCAGGGGGGGGGGTAGTATTGACTAGCTGCCTTCCCTCTAGTCTATCACTTCTAAATTTGGGACAGCTAGCGAGGATAGCTCTGGAGAAGCTTTGCACAAAATTCAAAAAACAAATACATTTAATATTCATAGTGTTGTTGTTGTTATTATTATTATTATCTTATTGGGTCCTGGACTTGGTTTGTAATAGGCTACAATGTATACATGAGATAAAAAAATTAAGACAATTTACCATCTTAATTTTAGAGTATTTTTCCAAAAATTTTCTTCTGTGACTCTCACGTGGGCTAGAAAAATTGTCAAGAGGCTAAAACCCATCAGATAGTGAAATGTTTTATTAACAATTAAAACTCGTCGGATAGCGAAGTGTTTTATTAAATATTAAAACTCGTCAGATAGCGAAGTGTTTTATTAAAAATTAAAACTCGTCAGATAGCGAAGTGTTTTATTAAAAATTAACACTCGTCAGATAGCGAAGTGTTTTATTAAAAATTAACACTCGTCAGATAGCGAAGTGTTTTATTAAAAATTAACACTCGTCGGATAGCGAAGTGTTTTATCAAAAACTAAAACTCGTCGGATAGCGAAGTGTTTTATTAAAAACTAAAGAGCAAGTTATCATATTTTGATGTTTTGGTCGAAATTGGCAACTGTTATTCCATTTGTTTATCCTGTGCTGTCCACTAGCTGTTTATCTGTAAGTATGTGTGTGTGTGTATCGTATTCGATCAGCTGGAAAACAGTTGATGTGGAAACATTGTTCCTGAATACTTCAAGGAAATGACGTAAGATACAAAGGAAGTAAGCCTCGTGATTATATGAATAATAAGAAAGACGTGTTGTTAATTGTAAGTTACTAACGGTCTGTGAAAGGTGCTCTTTATAACCACCAAGTGGAACTCTCTTCACAGATTTACAAGGAAAAGTTACAAAACTTCAAATTATTTTGAAATTAAAATATTATTTTACAGCGATACGTACGCTTTTTAGCCGCGGCACAGTGGCTCATAAAACGGCTCTGAGTTATTTGTGTTTTGTTCTTCAAGCACAAATATTTAGATGTAGAGAACTTGTTTAGATTTCTTCGTGACTTAGATGTAGAGAACTTCTTTAGATTTCTACGTTATTTAGATGTAGAGAACTTGTTTAGATTTCTACGTTATTTAGATGTAGAGAACTTGTTTAGATTTCTACGTTATTTAGATGTAGAGAACTTGTTTAGATTTCTACGTGACTTAGATGTAGAGAACTTGTTTAGATTTCTACGTGACTTAGATGTAGAGAACTTGTTTAGATTTCTACGTTATTTAGATGTAGAGAACTTGTTTAGATTTCTACGTTATTTAGATGTAGAGAACTTGTTTAGATTTCTACGTTATTTAGATGTAGAGCTAATGATTGAGTTTCAGTTTCGTTTCTTATAGTTTCACTTTTAATCCTTTATCTGATAGAATGTAACTGTCAATTGTTAGAAAATTAATTTTTTCTATCATGTAACTATGCAGTTTGAGCCAATATTAGCATTTATGCAAGCGATACGTGATATATTATCGAAAATTTACTAATGTCTCGTGAAAGCGAATGAAATGATATATTTTTATCTTTTCCGTGGCGCATGAAAGGTTTCGCAAAATTACAATTTCTCACCGAGAACGTAGAGCAGAAGACGAACCAAAGACAAGAGAGCATCTGTAAAGAAATAATAATATAATATATTAAATAAAGATCGTTTCTTTCATCTCCAGATTCCAGGGCTTTCTCGATAATTGCTACAGATGTACAGTTTGACTGGACGTTATTGGGCAACCGCGAGAGTTAGAAGGTTGGTGCTGGTCCACGAAAGTCAATACGAATTGTATTACATCAAAGAGTACATCAATCAAATTGGGTAAAACCTGAAAACCAGAACCTCTGCGTTTGCCTAACGATATGGCACGAATAAACTGTACAACATCGCTTCGGAACGTTCCTTGATGTAGCCAAGCAGCTCAACTTTAATAAATGAATGCTTTTTATCGTTGGCAGTCTCAACTTGATGAATTTTATTGGATTACCGATAGGGCTTCCTAAGACGTCCGTGCGATGTGGCCTTTGATATCAAATACAGAAATTACGAGGCAGTAATACAATTTAAAAAAAAAATTGTTTAGGAAGAAAGTAATTTCTTCATGAACCGATGATGGGGGTATGAAACAAATTCTCAAACAATACAGATATTACAAGAAACAATGATACACAGTAGGAACGATGTAGTTCCGGTCTATTTATATAATACTATTTGGTGGCTGCGTTGAAGAAACTCTTTTTGTTTCGTTTAATGGCTCAATAATAATCACCAAGTTATCTTCATTACTCTGTCAGTTTTAGTAATCTAACTTCGTGTCGGCAAAACGATGTAATATGACACTGAAAACTTCGTATAAAATCTAAGATTTACATTTGAAACAAAGCGTTTGTTACCCCTCAATCAAAATGAGCATATTTGAACAAATCAAAGAAGAATGTGACTACACGTTAAGACTCTATAGGTATTCGCAAATGAATATCTCGATAACTATAGCTAGAATTCTTAAACTATACGACGGCAATAAATACACATGTTTAAACATAGGATTTCGGATAGACTCGCTGCTAGTTGTTCTCTGGTTGGACAGTGGTAAGTTAAACTGTTTGTAGGAGGCGTAGTAAAGAAAATACAACCTTAATATATGGACTTAAGTAGACTAAACCTTTTGTTGAAGGTGTAGAAATTAAAATAGGACAGCGTCAAACTGTTTGTAGGAGGCGTAGTAAAGAAGAAAAACAACCTTAATATATGGACTTAACTTGTTTTTTGACCTGTTTAAAACAAATAAAGTGTAACTAAATGACTCATTAGTCAATGTTATTATTTCGTTTTGAGTTACTTACTGATTAAGCATATTTTATTACAAGCTACAACGTTTACACTAAAATTTGTTTTAGAACAGGTACGACGTTTCGATTACTAGTGTGATCATTCATGTATACTTGGGAATGATCACACCAATGATCGAAACGTCGTACCTGTTCTAAAAACAAATCTTACTGTAAAAGCTGTAACTTGTAATAAAATGTTAGGATTTATTCCTCCTGTATCTAATGCTAATGTCTTTTGCAGATAATTTGAAAATTCGATAAAATGTGGGTGTTTTAAAAGACGGGGTGTTTTCAGTTTTGAAATTTATGCCAGTCTACTGAACGAGATATCTTAGAAAAGAAAGTAAAATCATATGTGGGAGTGATCAAAGATCAACATTTTACCAGAAAACCTAAATCATGTGTGGGAGTGATCAAAGATCAACATTTTACCAGAAAACCTAAATCATGTGTGGGAGTGATCAAAGATCAACATTTTACCAGAAAACCTAAATCATGTGTGGGAGTGATCAAAGATCAACATTTTACCAGAAAACCTAAATCATGTGTGGGAGTGATCAAAGATCAACATTTTACCAGAAAACCTAAATCATGTGTGGGAGTGATCAAAGATCAACATTTTACCAGAAACCCCATACAACCCTTGAGAATCAACTGTAGTATCGCAGAATGCAAAATAAATGGTCTTTACTTGAGAAAAAATTCTGTCATAAAATTCACACGAAGGTATAGTCTCAGTTAATAGACCACAATGTCTTTAAAACAATAAAGTTGATATATAGCGGTATTGTCCCAGTTGTTAACCTCCGATATCTTTAAAACAGTTAAGTTTTAAAGTTCTCTACTACGTATAGTCAGTTTTAAGAAGCTCTGTAATGTATATGTACTTTTTTTAATATGCAGTTTATTTTAATCATATTATCTATAATAATAAAAACGCGTGTCTGTGGGTCTCTCTGTGTGTGACCGCCATAACTGCAAGAGGAAAGAATCTAGAAACCTGAAACTTTGCACACATACTAAGTGGACCCTGAGGGTGTGCGTTTGGGTATTGTTACTTTTCCACGTGTGTGGGCGTGCGCATCTTTTTATGAGGAAAGTAGGGAAAAACACTTAGAAAAGAAGTGGTTCCTTATATTACAAATAGAAATCACAGACAGACAGAGTAACTGTTGGCTTCACAGTGGCATTCTTAACCAGTTTCTTGTTTGTCCAGCTGCTTAGTTTGGAAGGGCGGCCTGATCTGGGTAATGACTGGTATGAAGCTCATTACATTTCTTAATGATGGACTTCACCGTACTCTGAAATTTTCTTGTAACATTCTCCTGATCTGTGCTTCTCTATCACTTTATCCACGACTTGCTTGGAAAGATCCTTGGTCTTCGTGGTTGGTTTGTCGTATCACTTGAACAGATGCATTTACTCTGAAGTCAAGTTAAACCACTTTGATTACATACAGACCATTTCACTACTTTTGTGACCTTTCAAACTAGTCTTTTGCACCTGAACTGATTTAGGGTTGACGTAGCAAAGGGAATGAATACTTATACAATTGAGAATATTCTAATTTTCTTTGGAAATGTAACTTACTTACCTAATATCGGCGTTTTTTAGCTTTCTCAGTTTAGAGTAGATTGTGTAGATTCTAAATATAAAGTCCCACTTCAAAGTTTCATGATCGCAAGCTCAGACGGAAACAAAACGTAGAAACTTTGCATGGGGTAAATACTCTTGCAAGGCCATTTCTCGTAGAGAAATAAAATAAGCATACTACGGATCAGGTATTTTGGCGTCAAGCATAATTGCAAATTGTGCAATAGTAATTTCCTGTTGTGCCTCGATTTCATTGAATGCCATTACTTACCTCGTCGAATGAACTTCAACAATCTATTTTGCTTTTTTGAGTCGTTAATCTGTTATTGATTCACAGAGATTGTTTGTACTTGATTTTCCACTCCACTACATCAGAATTTAAATCATTGAATTATATTTGCTTTGAGCATATATATTTTACAATTGTTTTCAAGTACTATCTGGAAGGATAAAAATCCAGCGTAATATCTTGTACTTAGCCTGCTCTGTGTTTCTTTAAGAGTCCTCGGAAAATGCAGGCGGTATCAGTAAAAAATGTCACAAGATACAAAAGTCGTAAAAATTCTATTCGTTCCGTATAAAGCCCACGATACTCATTATTTATCTACTTGGATAAACATGCGCATCGTAGAACGAGTCCCAAAGATTTCGGATGTCAGTTTTATTAGTTGGGGAGCTTTTTCACGAACTTGGAATTACTTCTCGAATCTGGATAGAACATTCAGTACGTTTAGAAGGGTAGATTATACGATAAACGTTATGAGCTGCGCGTCTAACACTTTTTAAAAACAATATGTTTCTGCTATTGATAATGATATTGCTACTGTTTAGGTAGGTAAATATTTCTTTAGGATTAAACACTAAAGTTTTAAGCCTAAAGAATTAAATCGTATGAAAATTTAAGATATGTTAAAGATTCTTGTAGCTGTTTGCTTATAATCGTTTAATGGAGAGTTATTTGTATTTATACATTTAATTATGTATTGGACTAACAAGGAAATAATTCATTTAGAGTACATTTATCATTTAATTATGTATTGGACTAACAAGGAAATAATTCATTTAGAGTACATTTATCATTTAATTATGTATTGGACTAACAAAGAAATAATTCATTTAGAGTACATTTATCATTTAATTATGTATTGGACTAACAAAGAAATAATTCATTTAGAAGAGTTTTGACATCTTTCTGTAAGCATCTACGTTGATTAAATTTTACAATTGATATATACATATCTGTTGAACGCCTTATACAGAAACTTTATTAAATAGTTTATACAACAAGCACTGAAAATGCATGTCCTCTGACTTCAGTTTTCTATCTCTAGGGTTAGAGTGGAGTTCTATGTGAATGAAAACACTTTGAAGGAACGTCTTCAGCTGTATTTCATTAAAAATCAAAGATCCAGTGAGTATGAAGATAATACTTTGTTCAATATGTACATGTTTTATAATTGTCGAGGCTTGATATCTTGTGTCTGTAAGTACGTTTCTTTCCGTATTCTAGCTTCTTTGTACGTATAAAAATGTATACCTTTGTGTGTTTACTGTTAAAGTCCGTTACAGTATAATTAGTGGTGTTAGTGTTACCATTACCGTATAATTAGTACTGTTAGTGTTGTTATTATCTAAAATATATAAAAGCATGTGTGTGTCACGTCACGCTCGATTTCTCGAAATATGAGGAGTCATAAAAGCCAAAATGCATTTATACAGATAGAATAGTTCGATTACTGTCTGCCCATTACGATTTTAATGACGATGATGCTAGGGGACGTGAAACCTTATAAGTGTAGTGAGTGTTGGTATAATAAGCTTAAAGTAAAGACGTAGTGTGGGATCACCTAATCTAGAGCGAAGTGCCTAAAATTTGTCATGAAAGTAAAAATATTGATTCAATTTTAAACTGAAATCGTTTTTGAATTAAGCTATTTCTTGTTACATCACCAACATTTTAAATAAAAAAACAAACCTCTTTAATCAACGGAAACTCTAAAATAAAAAAAAATCTATAAATATTTGTCGAGTTTTGTTGTCTATATACTTCATTTTATACACAGACTAACAACAATATTAGGTTATACTTTTGTTGCTAAGCGACATGACATAAAAGCCATTGTTGGAACGTAGTGTTACCGAAACGTACTGGTTTTTCTATATATTAGAATTTCCTAATCTAACTGATTCCTACCAATAATTGTTTCTGAATACGCCACGAATTCATTATATTAATTATCTTAATTTTGATTGGCTCACAAGGAACTTACCGACGTTTGACTACCTTGACTGCACTTTTCTGTCTCTTTGTTGGTCGAGCTTAATTTCGGAAAATTCATTTATTTCAGTTAGCTAGAAAATGTGAAGTTAGGGTATATTACAGGGTAGGGGTGGTAGTATAATTAGTAATGTTAGTGATGTTATTTTGTTAAGTAATGAAGCACTTATTGCCCTTCCAAAAATAAAATGTCTCAGAAAACATGATTTGTTAGAAAATAATTCGCAAGTTGAGTTTGATCCTGAATGAACTACCAAAAAAAATCGGTATGATATCGAACAGTGGAGACCGAACAGTAGGCAGCAACCATTCTTATTATGTCTTATTATGAATTAAAAAAACAAAACAGTCCTCTGGTGCTACAATCTTAACCCTATACCCATTGATTGTTCCGCGGACTCTTTGTGTTAGAGGAGGATTATCGTAGAACTGGCTTCCCGAATCTTTTGCGAAATTGACAAATTCCACGTGTCGTATATTTCAGGATTGCATTTCATTTTATTCGTTTCGAGGATATGTCGTTGTAAAGAGATAGGCAGTACTAACAAAGTACTAGTTCGGAGTATTCAGAGCCTAGAAAATCCCTTTAAGCTGATGTACATATCCACGTTACTTTTACAATATTGGTTCAATTCTTGCTGCTTTCACTTTAGTTGGCACGGGCTGGTCTTTACTCGTACAGGTTAACTATTATTATACGAGTGGTAATAACTGGAATGGAATTTGAAACATTTATTTTTTTTAATCCATTTATTTTAATTTCATTAGCTGATAGTAGAGATGTTACAGATATGGCTGCTAGCAAGTAACGCCATCTTACGTTTTAGTTGGATCTGAACTACTAATGTTGCTAGAGTAATTATTGTAGCCTGAAGGAACGTTAAGCTGAAAACATAGTGATTATGTATGTTAGTAATTTATGAAAAGAAGCTCTTTGTACCTGAACCCTTAAAATGAATCCAAAGATTGTAATTAACGAAAAGGTTACTCCAAGTAATGATATTTTGTTATCTCAGAAACCTAAGTGAAACGTATAGCTTAATAAATAAGTATAACTGTTATTTTTAATTTGATGTACGAAAACGAGATTATTAAAAACCCATAATTACTCTTGTTTAGTTTATCTGTGTTTACAAATACCAAGTGTAGGACATTGCTATGTTTTGTCTGACGTTTCACATTTTGCTTAAAAATAATAGATTAAAAATATGTCATTTAGTTTGTATTCTATTACTGCAATTAATCAATCTTGGTGTTATCTTCAATTTCTAGAATCGACGACCATGTTTCTCCATTCTTCTTAATTCCTGCCCAGACTCTCCTAATTCAAACTTCTCATCTCCCAGACTCTTCAAACTTCTCATCTCCCAGACTCTCCTAATTCGAACTTCTCATCTCCCAGGCTCTCCTAATTCGAACTT